GCCACGAAAGCACATTCAATCTTAAGCGAAATGCCATTGTTATTATTGTACGTATTTGATCTGTAGACCTTTGAGGGCATGCCGTAGTGAGTTGGTCAATATTCTCGTAATAATGAAAAATTCATAAAAATTAGTAATTTCGTTACTCAAGAAATTGCACGATATTTTACTGCATCATTAGTTGAATAATATGTATACGAGTGTGGTTAGAAATATGTATATATTTGAGTAATATTCGAGAAGTACTGAAAAAAAATTTAAATATTAGGAAATGTTAACTTGTATCGTGGATTTTCCCATGAGGATAATTTTACTGACATAAATAGAAACTACAACGTTTTTAGTATATTTACTTTATTTTACACTAACTAAAGTCAACAACGGATTTATGCCTGAGCTTCATTTATCGATTAATAGAAAGTATCAATGTATGATCGCCTACTTTGTTCAAATATGCCAATTTGATATCGCGTGCCTAGACTCTAAAAAGAAAGAGATGGAATAGGAATTTACTTATCATGTTTCGATCTCTAAGCTCTTTGGGTATCTGACGGTCTTTAACAGCTTAATCTTGCCTTTTCACTTTAGCTCGCCTTCAAACGGATGTTTTTTGGCTACCCAAAGGATACTCGGTCTAAGACCGGAAGTCGTGAGTTGCTTGAGTCATATGTAAAACAATCATTTCTGGTCACTCCCAAGTGAATGGCGCTCAGAGAACTTTCTTCACTTGCGTGAACTTCTACAAATAACTCCATCCTCCTTCCTTGTGAAACCTTATATTTCAAACATGATTATCAAAGTCGAATTCAATTGTAGCGAATATATATATTTAAATTTAATTCTCCTCTTTCATTACAAGTATGGCGTGCAATTATTTCGATTAGCTTTGTAGCTTGGTACTGAAAATTTAAGAGCTAGATTCTTAGAATCTCATATCCTCCAGTATATTAGGTAAATAATTGACAATTGCACCGCGACCTAAAGTCCCTTGTGCTCTCACAACGAGTCACTTAGCCCCACATATACTGCATGGTGCTAATGTGACGATGTGATCCCTTGGGCTTGTAACCACCCAATAACAACTTAGCATTGCTGATGGCTTTGAGTTGTTATATCCCTACACACTCTTTCATCCTTGCACCGTTATGGTACCCCAATGAAGGGTTCGGAACCTACCTGTTGATGGATGCTATGGAGCAGACGAGCTCATCAGCCAGCTCATTCTCAGGTGTATCTTTGCGACTGGGTACCCAGATAAGGTGCACTTGGTTACGATCTGTTTAGCCGTTCTGTACACTCCTAAACCAATAGCGATTTGATCACGTATGCAGAGATCGCTTTTAGTGTCTCTTGACTGTCGCTTACATAGCAAAACTATACGTTCGATACTATAGTTGCGTACGTACAGACTTATAGCATAGACCCCTGCTTGGAACATGCTCCAAAAGCTCCCCGTATGTTTGGAGAGTTTGTTTCGTGGTTCTGCATCTCCTGTGGTAATCACTCCGACGTTTTCGAGCCGTTGGTGTACCATTTGATTATACTTTCCCTAAGCTAAGCAGTAGTTGGAAAGCTAAATCGTTCCATTCAGTCATACCGCTGAGGGTAACCTTGAACTTCCTAATATAGCTCACACTTTTGGTAACGCTGTCCCTTGGGAGAAGAGCCAGTCGTATTTCACCTCGTAAGTCCCTCATGCGCTGTGAACAGATTACTTTACCTCTGCTGAACCCTTCTTCTGTGATTTGTGGTTGACAACCTGACCGATTACTAGGTGAAGCGCATTCCCCATACTCACAATTGATTTATTGTTTCCGATTCTTCAGAGACTTTTTTTTATTATTTTTAGTCCTATTACGCTTAACACCGCCAAAACATAATCTGTTTTTCTTTTCTTGTAAATTAATGGGAGGTATAACTTGAAATTTTTTAGATCAATTCGAAAATTCCAAAATAGTTCTGTGAGAAGACTCAGAAATGCGGCAAAATCGTTGAAAGCTTGCTGCCCCTCAGTATTCTCAGACACAGGAGTCGAACTCATGTTTACCTGTAGACAAGATCACCTTATTTTAGTGTGTACAAATTTTTCATATTTAAAATATGATTCTTCTAAGTACATTTTATATCTATTAGCAATTCAACCACATTTTTATACAAATTAAGTTAAATCGGAAACAACATTGTTTATAAAACTCAAGTCATGGAAAGCATCCGAGAAGAATTCGTTCAATAAGCTCATTCTACTATTGTGTGTATGCTGTCGGCCATACATAGCTTCTTTACGTGACATGCTTATACGTATGTTCCTTATTGTATTTGTTGTTGTTTTTACATTTTTACTTGCTACTATTTTTTTACAATGACCGTAAGTGGTTTTATGCGTTTTGCATATGGATCTGCAAATAAAAGTCACAATCTCATTCCACTCTAATATTTGCATAAAATAGCAATAACAACAACACATCTTACTAAGATTCATCACTACACTTTGAAAATTCCCCAAAAATCGGTCAGAAACTGCCGAACGAATTGAGAAATATTGTGAAATAAAACAAATCGCTAATGAGGCATGAAATTTTCCAGCAAAAAAAAAAAATAAAAATTCTGTAATATAATGAAATGCAAGTCCACATATGTGTACCGTTTGGTATACGTGCCCTTACTTACGTATGTACACATGTCAAATAGTTTAGTGCAGCTTCCCATCGTAAATCTATTCTGGCAACTACTGTTTAATTGAGGTGTTAATGAAGTACATTGAAAAAATAAACATTGGACATTACTTTGTGTATATTATATTGTATTGGTAGAAACAAATATTGAAGATGGCAAGCCTTTGTTTTACCAAGAGCTTAGTTCGAAAAATACATAACATTTTTGCTACTCTTGACCTTGTTGACATCCTGAAGTCAATTTACATTAAGTTATGTTAGGTTATACTGGCTGGCTACATTCGATACATAGACCTATTGGTCCTCGGTAATACTAGATTAAGATTCAGTTTTATTTGAGCTGAAGTATTAATCTTAAAGTTCTTCAGTCTTTTAGAAACCATAACCATTTGAGTAAAAGCCATGCGTGTCACTCTTGGGGTTTTTGCACATAATTTTGGCGATCCTGCATATCCTTAAGGCATTTAATCTCGCCCTGATTCATCTGTCAGCCATTTCGGAACTTTCATCGAATATCAGTTTTAGTAACTTTCTTGTACTTGTTCGATAGCCAGACGGATGGCGGTTTTGGCAATCTCAACAGCTGTTCCCTGAATTTTTTTCTGGCATGCAGTCGTTACTTTTATTGCCTGCCTGCCTGGAAAATACTCCAGTCATTTGAAATCCAGCTACGAGCAATAGATCCCCGCACCCACTCAACCATTTTGATACGTCAGGCTAGGTGTTGTAAGTTCCTCTGGCACGTCACATGCTCCAGAGTCATCCATCCTTTTATAGTGTGACTTGAAATCTTCTCTCCCAAAAAAGAGTTCTTATTGAGCTATGCCCGAAAGTCCTTGTGGAGAATTCACATAACCCCACCAATCCAGCAGCTGATTTTGCTGTAGAACTATATTGTCGATTGGTGGCAGGTTAAATAATCTTTCTAGTACAGCCATTGGAGTGGTGATAGGCCCATTTATTCCACCACTGGCATTTTTCAATATATCCTCCACATCAGTTTCCTATGCAAAGTTACTTTGAGGTACTCGATACTTTCCTTAGTTGTTAACTCAACTCCGTTAAGCCGCGGGTTTTCCATGATGGGAGGTCGTACCTCCTTGTAAATATTACTATATACGCCTTATTGGCACTTACCTCTAGACTAACTGATATCGTTCATCGGTGAATGAACCTTAAGGTGTTATGCATAAGGTTACTGATTAATTCTAATATCGCTATGCCGTCTGCATATAGTGACCATAGGAGTAGTGACAGTACACGACACTGAGAGTTTGTGTTCTGAGTATACTGGCTGCGTTCCATTCCGCATGAACAAATGACATTGAGTGAACTCGTTTCTAGAGCGTCGTATTAGAATAGAACTTTCCGGTTCGAAAAGTTTACCACCGTAGTACATGTTACACAACTCCACTCAGCAAACTACCAAACCTCAATACAACCCGTCACATAATTGGAGGTAGCCATTTTGCGGGGTCGAAAAGCTTTGCCATAGAGAAAAAAATTTGTCTCTTTGTTAATGCGAATAATGCTAGTAAAAACTAGTCAGATATCGCATTCCATTCAATTCTCGCAGTTTTTGTTGCACTATCCTTTTCGAAATATTGGAAATTAGTGTCCAAAAAATTTTCATTTTCATATTTCATACATATATTTTAATTTCTTTGGCGGATTTGCCATCATCTTAATAATGTCAATAAAATAAATATTATTTTGAGTGTAATGATGTAGTAAAAATAATGGGATCTACCGCGGGCACAACTCACCTGACAATATTATTTGAAGTGTGAAGCATTACACAAAACTTGAGCAAATTCACAGAAGAGCTCGTCAGCAATGACGTTCAGAAAGTACCCTATACTTGAAACTGCCTACTACTTTTTTAAGTGTTGAACATCTCTTGCCTAAAGCATACTGAGCAAAGTGGATTGCGAGAATTTATAAATATAGTATGTAAATTGTTTATTCATGTAATTGCCATTCAATATATTAAAACAGAGATAATAAATATATAACTAAATGAATAAATAACACTATACTGCATTATTCAGAAAAGTAATAGGTGTACGGCGCAAAGTTCACTTCTCAGCTAATATGCCTCCCTCATAGTGCACTCCTACCAAGAGATTATATGCATTATGTAAATATGTCAGAGTATGTATAGATGGTTGCGCAAATGCATTTTTATTGTATTTTAGTAAACAATTTTATGTCGGTGTGTAAAAATTACCCACAAAAGCACATCAATATATACGAACATAATTCAAACAACGACCCGCCAGCCACCTGTGCCCAGAAGCCTGCCGCAGTATAAAAGCGCTGGTCAGTCCTGTGAAAGAAATGCAGTAGAAATTTGGACTTCTTACCGAACAGAACACTAGTGTCGTGTCATCGAAAAAAAACTAAAGAACTCCGACAAAATGCGCTTTTGCATTCTATTCGCGCTCATCATTGCGATCTACGGTGACACCGACGCCCATAAAGCGTCCGAACAATCGGCGGTTGCAGCTGCGAAGGCACTACCCACTGAAGAGCTGGCTAGCGCTGCTGTTGACGTGCAACCCAACAGATTGCTGGAAGATGTGGATGCCGGCGGGGAACATGCGGAAGAGGCCGAGCGTGCAGCGCGTAGTTTCGGCTGGGGCGGTTTCGGCGGCTATGGCTACAAGCGTTGGGGTGGCTACGGCGGCTACGGGGGCCACCGAGGCTATGGTGGTTATGGTGGTTACGGTTACCGCCCGCACTATGCTGTTGTTTATCGGCAGCCTTATTACCATGGCTATGGTCACAAATATTGGGGTTGAATGCGGACTTGTAAAAATATTAGAATGTAATTTAATACGTTCATAGAATGTACTAAGAAGAAAAAAATAAAATAATTTTAAATAACATCCCAGTAATGCAGCTTTTTTCGTACGTTTCGTGTGTGAAACTGTGCGCTTGCTTATTGTCTAGAAAAAATTCACAGCGATTTTAATAGGCCGAGGCGATAATTGGGAAAGTGCTTGTCATCGATTATTGCAGCTTGTGAAATTAATGAGATATATGATAGTAGATAATTTGTTTTCCTTAGCAGTTCTTTTGCTGCTCCGTGTTTGTTTTTTTGTAGGCTCTTTTAAGCAACACCCAATAAAATGAAATAAATCGCTTCGTGTAAATTAATATTTATGGCCCGCGATGCGGACACGCCTAATAGAAAATTAGAAATTTCTCAGGAATTCAAGGTAATGCTGATTTTACTTGCATATATTAATATATTGTCAATAGAATTATTTACAGAGAAGTCTAGTTTAATAAAACACAAAGCTGTGTGCAAACTTAAATGCTCAAGGCAAGGGAACGTGAAAGCTCGCAGTGTTTGTACGATGGTTTTACGAGGAATTGTTTCGTCGAGGCTACACAAACATTGATTAAACTGAAGAGAGGTTATCCAAAAATATTAAAAAAAATTCAGTGAAGTGGCAGAAAAGTTTAACATCTCTTTAGGTTTCCTCCAATTCTTCCCTTATCTCTGTATCTTTTAAGACATTAAGCATTATAGACCATCAATTGGGCCCGAAAGACTTTATTTGTGGACTCTCAAATCATTGATTTTGCAAAAAGTTCAAAAGTTAAAACAAAAAATATCAAAATATCGATCAACTGCCACCGAAGATTCTTTGCTTTATTTGCAATATATATTTATTTATTGGATCCGTGCTTAAATGCTTAACTTATTTCGTTAGTAATTCTATTTACTTGCTCTATTGTGCCATGTTTTGCACGAAACCCGAATCGGTGCGTTGATATTCTATTATTTTCGCGGAGGAAAGGAGACATCTTTGTTAGCAACGCTTTTTCAAATATTTTAGAAAGGCAGGGTAGAAGACTGATTGGTCTCTAAGAAGGCGGTTATCTGAAGTGTTTGCCGAATTTATCTATCAATATAATCTGCGACTTTTTCCACACAATTGGATAATATCAGAAACTAAGAATTGCATTGAGAGCACCTCTACAGCAATATTTGGTAACTCATAATATTATTTTGTCCTGGTGTTTTTTTTTTTTTTTTTTTTTTTTTTTTTTTTTTTTTTTTTTTTTTTTTTTTTTTTTTTTTTTTTTTTTTTTTTTTTTTTTGGTTAAGTTCTTTTATGATTGTAAAAATTTTAGAAGCTGAAGTCTTAAAAGACTCTAATTCCTCGTTAGCCTTGTTGTGTAACATATCAATAGTATTCTTTGGGCAATTAGGTTGATATACCTCTTCTAGGTGATTGGCAAAAGAATTAGCCTTTTCTTCGAAGATTCCTGATATATTCTCTTCCGAAATACTACTTCCGTTCAATAGAAATCAGGATATATACGATAAATTGAAGAAGAAGATTAAAATCGACCAATCGAATTATAGACTCATGTTTCATTAGGCTACTCGACCGAGTATAGCAGAAGTAATCCAAACGAGTAACAAAAACAAGGAACTTAATGACCAAGCACTTTTAATATCTTTACGTAAAATTTTTTTAGAGGAATAATGTCACCGAGACACAAAAACTTTGCGTGAGAGCGAGGCGATCATTGCATTTAATCGATTTTTTTTTCCAGTTTTCAGTAGGTTTTTTATGGAAATAATAATTGTATCTAACAGACCCTTAAAAATAAAATTTATTTTCATCTGAAAAGTCAACATAGAAGCAATCCGATTTTCAGGCCTTGTGCTCCGGTGGAAAACGTAATCGTGTTTCTTTTCGAGCATAGTTAAGTTGTGGGTTTCTTCTTTAATTTTAACATTTTTATTTTTTTAGAGTAGATAAGCTCATTTTGGCACCTGCAGTTTTGTCGCTCTTGACGGTCGATGCATGAAAGTTGGAGTTCTCTAAATAGTTCTCTTGTCAAAATCGGAAAAACCTTGAGTGTAACTGTTTTTATTATTTCGACCACATTCCGTCTTATTGCGCAAGAAATAATAATAATATCTAAGTTTCTTTAGTTATGCCGATTCTTCGATATTTTAATTATTATAAACTGTAAATTTGGATAAGCTTTGATTATTGTCTTCTCTTTATCTATTGATTGTCTAAATTATTATTGACACCACGTATTCAAACTCCGAAGATAAATGCAAAGACAAGGCAAAATAAACACATTTTCGACTTTCGAAAATGGCAAGAATCACATAGTCAATCATATTATATATGTATATAGCATGTTCCGTGATTTATCTTACAGAAATGAGGAAATCATAAAACAATAAAGTAACAAATTAACGGCAAAAAAATCAGAAGCAGGTGTATTAGAGTGGTTAGCAAGCAGTTAGTTGTATGATATCTGTAGTCATATACCCATCACCATAAAAACAATTTAGCACAGCGGTGTTAGCGTGATGGGCTGGGTAGCATTACCTTGAAGCACTTGTACGGATAAATGGAAAAATGAGCCAGTGCCGAAAGCGCTTAGGCTATGCTTCACTTCCACCTTCGTCCTGAAAATCGAAAACTCGATTCGTCACATTAAATCGTAAAAATAAGTAGGCATTTTACGAATTTCTTAATTTTAATGTTCTTATGTTTAATTATCAATATTAAAATCGATATATTTAGACTAGTATCTATACTAGGTACAGTTCTACCCTTCATACGTTCTGCCCTTTCTTGAGTGAGAGTGGCATTAATATCAAAGACTGTCGTGGGCAAAGCTATTACAATGCCAGCAAACATGAGTGGGATATACTATACATCGGCTTACAAGCCCGAATTAAAAAAATAAATAAGTATGCAGAATACATTCCCTGTTTTGCACATTCATTAAACTTAATTGCTAAGTGCGCTGCAGACTGCTGTACAGAAGCATTACTTTTCTTCGATTTCATTGAAATCCTCTTAACATTTTTTTCTGTTTCTACCCATCGATGGGTTCGTCTTACGAACGCACTTAAAGATTCTACGTCAAAAATACCGATTTTGAAACGGTTATCGGACACTAGGTGGTCAGACCGAGCTGATGCTATGAAGGCACTTTTATTTTCAACATTAAAACGTATTAAAAATGAATTAAGAAACACAATGTTCAAATAACTTCTTAATCATTCGTTCGTTGTTCGTGGTTGTGTACGGTTGATTTTTTCATATCGAGCGCACATGTAAATACTCGCTGCATAACTCCTCGTTACTTGGTGTACGCGCAATTTAACCTAGCTTTGACATTTTGAGCTTCAATTCGTTACACTTTCCATGTGCTTTTTGTACTTTTAATTAATAAGTTTAATTATAAAGTTAAACCCACAATTTAATCGGGTACGAACTTAATTTCTTTCTCAATGCCCTCTGGGGCCAACAGGCTGGGGGATAGTAGGTTTGCACTATTATCCCCGGGTCCTAAAAACAAGAGGAAAAAGCCAGAAAATTCAACGCTGGAGTTCTTCCCGGAATTACCTATTTCTAAGAAGGATGATCCTCGTAATCAAATCACAGGACGCCAGAAAACGTATTGCATCCACTTCTTGCTTTGCAGCACATAAAGGTATTCAGGCCATAAGCAAAATCACATCGCTTCGTGACGGCAGCCTTCATCTTTTGGTCAAGAACCAAACATCTTCCCGGAGCTGGTGCTCTTGATATACCTCTTCACAACTCTCTGAAGTCAGTAAAGGGTACAATTTACGCTCCATTTATCTGTCAGCTTGCTGATGATGAAATAATTGGTGGTATAAAGGATCAAGGAGTATCCGAGGTTCATAAATTTACGATGATAAACAATGGTAATCGTGTACCTACTGGTGCTTTATTATTAACTTTTGATAAATATACTTTACCTAGTCGTATTGAAGTTGCCTGGTGTATCCTCGATATCCGTCCCTACTATCCTAATCCCATGCGCTGCAAGAATTGTCAGTTGCTGGGTCATACTGCTAAGCGATGTAACAAGTCCCCATCTTGTGCTATCTGCAACCTACCTCCAAATCATACCCCTCCCACTGAATGCTCTAGAGTCAAATGTGCTAACTGCGATGGTGAGCACCCTTCTTCCTTTAACGCCTATCCAAAATTTGTCCAGTCTAAAGAGATACTTAAAATWAAAACTATCCACAAGTGTTCAATGCGTGAAGCCATCAATTTATACAAATCTCAAATACCGTCTACTCCCTCACCATTCTCTTATGCGAATGTAACAGCTTCCAACAACAATACTCACTCAAAAAAATACATCAACATCGAAAAAACTTCAAACACTAATAATTCTAATGACAAAATTAAAGCTACAACTTCAAACAATAATTCTTCATCCCCCAACCAACATCCACTCAATCCATAATGATTGCCCCGAAACCCCTTCTCCCTCCGTTTCTACCGTGTACAATTCTCCCTCTCCACTATAACACGTTCCACAACTTCACCTGTACCCTCCTGCCATCCACAATCACATACCCAGGTATCCATAGATACATAATTCTAGATATTAAATTTCAATTAAAACGTACATTTTTCATACATATGTATATACTTTAACTCCACATTTGTGAAAAACATAATTATCATTTTCCACCGATTTCATTCAAAAATATTTCATGTTCTCCTACACTTAAGTTTCTTGGATTAATTCTAGATAGTAAATATGCATTCAAACAACATTGTCAATATATTAGAAATGCAATTACTAAAAACTCAAATATTGTTAAGTACCTAGCATGCAAGCATTCGCTCATTGGCCCATCTTTGCTAATTAATGTTGTCAAGGCACGCATACTCTCCGTCATCAATTACGCTCTTGAAATATATGGGCATCATCCAAAAAGTCACCTAAAATTGTTGGCAGCACCGTATCACTCCGCTGTTAGAAGATCGCTTCGAGCATTCCCCACGTCACCTATCAAAAATATATTAGCAGAGTCCGGTCTTCCCTCTCTGATAGACAATATGGAAGACACCACATAC